CCCCAAAACCCCAAAACCCCAAAACCCCAAAACCCCAAATGGGTCGATTAAGCAAAATTAATAAATATATTATTAAAATGGAGAAATTAAACCTCAACGTTTATTACGAAATCTGCAAATATCTTGACTTCAATCAAATGCATTTCTTCAGAACCTGAAATAAGACATTATATAACAAAGTTAGGGACGCAATGGTAATTCTAGCTGAAAGAGAAGCAAATAGGCTCCTCTTATCATCAGATAACCTTACTCGAAACCTCTTTGTTATCAAGGAAAAGCCAAAAGAGACTCTTAAAAATGAAAATTGGTTTACTTTCCTTATCAATCAACTCAAAGCACGTTGTATGATAAAGCACAGAATGTATCATACCATTCCCGAGCTTTTCCCTGAGCTAGAAAATTGCTTGAGAGTAAAACTTGCAAAAATAGTTTTTACTGAAATAAAAAGAAAAAGGAAAATGAACATAACCATGAAGAAAGGGTCCAATAATAGCAACATAGCTTTTACTAATTTCCAAGAACTTTTATTTCTCCATTCGAAGAACTTTATTTCTGATAAATATCCCAAACTTATAGAAACAGGGAACCCTGTGTGGTCTGCAGAGCAGATAAGAGAGAATGAAGAGTTAGATATCTTCTATGCTTTTAGGACCTACACAAATTCTGAAGATACATGAATTGAAGTACCAAAAACTCCGATACTAGCTTATCTTTACTTATTTGATGAGTTTTGAGCATGTCATTGAAGGATGGTAGCTGAGTCAATCGCCTCAAAGTGAAATTCAGAGACATTTCTTGATGAATACAATGCAAGATGGCAATCTTATGTATCTCTGATAGAAATTTTTGAAATAGAGTTTAGCTTCATCCCAGAAATAATGAATAAATTATCAACATGCGGAGAAGAAAATAGTCTCTATGAAGAAGAAAAAGGAATACCCTTGATAAAATTCTCCTTAATGCGGCTAATGTCACGAAGCTGGGGTAAGAATGTCATGAAATCCCTATTTTCCTCCTTCAAATCTCAAATACTCTCAATCCTAGAAATCTATCAGTCCAAGCTCTTGACTTTAGCTGGAGACTACAACATAGAGATATCCAAATAAAAACTCAGCATCACGTATCTCCAACAATTACAAGCTTGATCCTCTAACTCGTGATATCCTTCGCCAGGCCTTCCTGAGCATTCTTGACGTATCTCTGAATGAGGCTAATATAAAGATGATTAACCATTCTTTGCTTCCTTTGGAGACCTTCTACTTGCAGATAGAAGAGACTTTGATTAATCATACCAAGAAGTTCTTAAAGACTCTTTTGGATGAATACCCAGTTAAGGTCTTTGTCTGTGTTTCCCAGCTCTACTGTGATAACATCTGAGAGCCATCTATAAAACGTACACAGAGAAGATTAAACTACTACATAACAGATTGCTTGAAGAGAACACTTGAGATCAAATTTTGAAAATAGTTATATGAAATTTATTTTCAAGAGCAATACATCACCCTCAACCAGACAAAAGAAATTGCCAGAAGAGGTATCTCAGTTTTCTCTAGAAGAAACTAAAGTTCCCCTAGAAACTGCTGTCGAGAAAAGAATTGAGTTTAAAAAGAAGAGATCTGGTACGAAAAGAGATGATATTGGAGAAGAAAGTTACGAAGAACTAACCCCACCAGAGAGAAAGATCTGTAATCAGATATCAGACATCATTAATAGAGCTATTTCCTTCAGAAAAAAGAAAACCTTAGTTGATCCTAAAGCAGTTGATACTGAAGAACTTGAAAAATCAATTCTGGGCTCTGCGAAGGGGAGAAATGAAAGCAATGTGGCACTCCAAAGACAAGTAACACAGTAAGATTTTAGATATTTGACTTAAAGCTAATAATTTTTAGAGATCTAAACCCTAACCCAATGGAGGAAATAAAGGAAGGAGAGAACTTACCGATAAAAGCTATTCATTCAAAAGAGTATGTAAATAGACATTACCGAGTCCAACCACAAGTAGCCCTTGATTTCTATGCAAAAAGTAGCGAAGTAAAAGACCTCCTGGAATCTTTGGAAATAGTTAAGGCAAAATGAGAAGAAAATGTGGAGAATTTTGAAAAATCTGATAAAAAGGATAAATACTTGAATGGGTATAAAGTTGACAAAGATACTTCCAATCTTAATATACCTCCTAGTCTTCACATTGTGAAGGGGGAATCCTTTGCTCCTTATTCAGCATTTAATGATTCGTATTCAATAAGATACCTCCATTATGAGTAAGTGTTCTGATAATTTAGCATGCTCTCATTGGATTTTAATGAAAATTAATTTAGTGATAAAAAGATTTAAAATTTTGAAAATATTATGAAAATTAGATTCTGTGAGAAGGCACTTTTAGAAATTGTGAACATTTAAGTATTTACTTACAAAAATTTCACTTTGTGTGATATTCTTGCTTTCTAATTTTTCTTAAATAATTGATATTGATCCACAAACATTATGATATAATCTTTCATTTGTAGAATTTACAAAAACATCCAAAATAACCCAGTTGAAGATCAATGGCAGCATACACTCCTAAGCTGTGATAAGGACAAATGAGATTACTGTAAAGCTCTTAAAAATAGAACAGTAGCAAACTCTTCCCTATTCCAACAATGCTTGGAAGACGTGGATATGTATGATTTAGAAAGCGATGGTTCCTCCTCCCTAGACATGGACTTCGACGACCTTGACAGCTTCTGCCCATAATTATCTGACTGACATTTTCAAGCAAAAACACCAATTTTAATCCTCTCAATTTTGATTGTCAATCTGGGGTTTTGGGGTTTTGGGGTTTTGGGGTTTTGGGG